AAAAACTAAGCGGTGGATTTGTGTCATACTTTGCTCAGATTTAGCCATAAATTAGCGCTAAAATATGGCATACAACAGACGGGCACAATTTTTGTCACAAAAGAATCGCATCGACTCTCTTGGCCAGTGAGAACCAATTAAGAACATTTCTCTTTATTTTTCGTGTGTGTTTGGATATTTATTTGGCAGCCGAGATCAAAAATATTCTTTGACAGTTAAAACTATGTGCACATATGTGCATAAAAATGGCTTCGTTTTGTGACATTTGACATTGTCTTTCAAAACAAGTCATTGACAGTGAAACAAGCAGACACACCACAGCGAATAACTTGTGAATTTTACATTTGATCGAATTAATATATTTTTCAAGTTATCAATAGCATAATTTAAAATAAAAATGAGTAAAACATTGAAAGATAAAACGATTGCAAAAGAAGGTACCACTTCGGATAAAAGATTGAAACGCAAAAAGACAACGGAAAAGGATGGCAATTCCAGTGTTGAGACGCAGAGCAATAAACGCTCCGAGAAAAATACGAAAGTATGACAAGTATTCCATTATATTTAACCATTTTGACTAAAATTCTTTTTTTCTTATGCACTAAGCCATTTACAATATCCGTAAAGCGACTAAGCAAAACAGAGATTCAGCAGATTATTGATAATTTAGCTTCAAAGCCGGAAAAATTGAATGATTTGACACAAAAGGAAACGGTATTGTTTTGCAAAAAGAGCTGAACTTTGCAACTATGTATGGTGTTGTTTCATGTTTATATCTCTACATAGATCTCGGATTCAGCTGTTCAGCAAAGAGAAATGAAAAAACTATCACGAAGCTCAACTCAAACTGCGACAAAGTCTACGACACCGACTGATACAAAAGTACGATGAATATTCCAATATAAAACACTCTCTCAACACTATATTTTCTTCGTTATTCATTTAGCCATTTACAATATCCATAAAGCGACTAAGCAAGTTAGAGATTCAGAAGATTATTGATAATTTAGCTTCAAAGCAGGAAAAATTGAATGCTTTGGTACAAAAGGAAACGGTATTGTTTTGCAAAAAGAACTGAACTTTGCAACTATGTATCAATTTTTTGTGATTTCTGTTCTATGATTGTAGGTCACGAAAAGTTCAAGGAGAATGACACGGGCAACAACTCGATCTACAAATACACTCAAAACGACCCAGTCCAGTGCTGGAACAAAAGTGATCTCGGACGCAGTTGAAAGTTGTAGTGTCACAACACGGAAAAGAAAACGAGAAGAAGTATGTTTCCACAATTCAGAATACTTTTCATTTCCTTTTTAATTTCTGTTTCATGATTGCAGATCACAAAAAGTACAAAGAGAATGACACGGGCTACAAATCGATCTGCAAATACACTCAAGACAACCCAGTCCAGTGCTGGAGTAAAGGTGATCTCGGACGCAGGACGAAAACAAAAACGGAAAGACGCGAATTGTGCACGTCAAACTAAGCAAATGTCTTTGAAAGAAAAAATCGAAAATGAATCGCCCAGCAATGATTACATGGTAAACGAAATCATCCTAGCCTCTATACCTGGATATTGCGCTTGGCCAGCTCGAATCTTGAATATAGTCGGTGAAACAATTATGGTTCAATTTTTGGGTACAGGTCACATGTAAGTTTACAATAAATTTGTCCATCAGATTATAATAAAATCAATTCTTTTTTCAGAAATCCTGTTCGATCGAATGCTTTAGAAATTCCAGAAAATATTTCTTTAATCAAACAATAATCTTCTGAAAAAAAAATCCGAGATCATGTAAAAAAGTATAATAAACGGATTATCAATGAATTTAAGTCTCTAAACTCAAAGAGCTTAGTTGTGTTTTTATTGAATATCGGAAACAATCAACAACAGCAAAGTAAACACCTATTTTATTACTGAAAATATTGTGTTGACTGAATTTGATGTGATTTTTCGTACATTTAGTCGGTGTTGAGTTTTGAAATTGCCAGCAAAAGATTTCAGACATTTTTGAGCGGACAGCTCGATGATATGAATAAAATATGTAATTTTCAATAAGATCTCGGTTGCTTATCTTTATTTTCTAAATAAATGAATGTTGATTATTTATTGATGATTTTTTTAATTTTTAGCTTTGGTGCTTTGTTTTCCAAAACCAAACGTTTGATGATATCGGTTACTCGAGGTTCATCTTCTTGTCTCATGAATGGAACATTGTTTAATATGTAGGTCATGCTCCCATTCCCATTAACATATTCCCGTTTGATGTCATTTTCTTCCTCGCACGAATTTTGATACATCATTCGAGCATCGTCTATTTCATCATCAGTGACGGGTTTTAAATAATGTTCCCATTTGGCAGTCATTGTTGGCTGTGCAAATAAAACATTTGATCCGCTATCATACTCTTTTCTTTTTTGTACGTCACATAAAACCGTATAGGCTTGGTGAACAATGCAAAACATTTCATTGGCAGTCAGTCTTTCTTCGTTCGACACGCGATCGGGGTGATACTTCCGAGCTAACTTATAATAGCTTTTCTTCACTGAAAATATGATTTGTATGAAAAACATGTATGGATTGTATCAAACCAAATCTATATGAAAATCTTATATTCACCCTCGCTTATTTGAGCGTTAGATTCAACTCCCAGAATCGAATATAAATTTGATGTTCCAAAAAGTTTCTCAGAATTCATTTTGTATCCGTGATCACCTTTGAATCCTTCAATATAAATGCAGCTGGATATTTACAAATAAAAAAGTAAAAAATCAGCTTTAGAACGATGTACATACAGTCTGTCTAGTTATAGACGATAAGGGATATCTAAGTGAAAACACAAGAATTTTTCAAATTTCTCTTTCGAGATATTTTTATTGAGCCTTCAGCTCGGTCGCAAACAATTCAATAGTTAATCCATTCGCCTTGTTTTTCGATAACACGGGCACAGCGTGAAGGCATACTTTTGCTCAAATTTTCAGCATATTCTCGCGAAAGGCTGTCCCACTGGCGCTTCAAGAACAAAGTGAGATGTTTTGTGCTTCGAATATGTTTGCCTTTGAGTCTCTGCTTCATGATGGACCAAACGTTTTCAATCGGATTGCAGTCTGGAGATTGAGCCGGCCAATCCATCTGTTGAATCCCATTTTCCTCTTTCCAAGCAGTACATAAACGACTTTTGTGTTTTGGGTCGTTGTCTTCTTGTAGAATCCATTTCGACGTATCGTTGCCATAGAACTTCTTGGCGGTGGGGAGCAATGTCGATTTGTACAACTGGCGCATTCGATACTTCTCTAGGATACCAGTAAACACGGTTAATTTACCAAAACCGGCTTCACAGAAGGCTCCATACACATGCACCTTTTGCGGATGCTTAACCGTGCGAACCACCGTTCTTTTTTCGCGTGTGCACCAAGTATGGGTGAGGGAATTCGACAACCAAAACGATGATTCATCTGTGTATATAACTTTGCTCCAATCAGTGTCCAAATTTTCGGTTGCCCATTGTAGTCGTTTTTCGTTATGTTCTGGTTTCAAAAGAGGTTTTTTCATTGTGGAGCGATACTTTAACGACATTTTACCTAATCTCTTTCGCAGTGTCTCTCTTGAAACGTTGATATTTGATCGACGTAGTCGTTGTACCCCCTGACGCAACGACAAACCTGGGTTTTGATCGAAAACCTTAGCAATACGCTGATCTTGCTTCGGCGTGGATGCTCGGTTGGGCTTAATGTTTGGCTGGTCGTTCACATTTTTTTCACGTTTATATTGATCTACCCAACGCTGGACGAATGGCACCGTCTTTTTAATGTATCGGGCGGTCGCTGTAAGCGATAATTTTGGCCCGCGTGGATGCAAATGCAGGAAAACTGCTTCAAAACGTTTAGTATAGTATTCCGAATTCATGTTTTCAATTAAAATAAGAGCACCAATGTGACTTTACATCTGTCAAATGCAGTTTGCGACCGAGGTTAGAGTCGCATCTGACCACACCAAAAAGCCTATTTAAATATATTCAAATTTGAACATCGTTTTCCCTTATCGTCTATAACTAGACAGACTGTACAAATGCACTGAATTGACTTCACTTTGTGGTGTTTGACATTTTCTGTCAAAACGAAAATGTGATTTAGCGCCAAATTAAGCTTTCAGCCATTTGGAATATGTCATTCACAGCTAAACAGACAAACATATTGTAGCGATTAATTTTTGGGATTTACACTTGATTCTTTTCATACATTTTCAAATTATTATAAATAAAAAATGGATAAAAGATTGAAAAGCCAAAAGACTGTGGAAAAGGATGGCAAATCCAGTGTTGAGACGCAGAGCAATAAACGCTCCAAGAAAAAGACAAATGTAGAAAATGTTGCATCCAAAGCCAAACACTCGGCTGTTACGTTTGAGAATGAAAATCGACTGACATCCCGAAAGAGGCAACGGGTAGAAGCTGAACAGACGAATGGAAATGTTGCTAAGAAAACAAAAAAAGTATGTTTCGACAGTTTCATTGATTTAATATTTACTTTATGTATAACATTACATAACCTCAGAATGTGATTTTATGTTTTATGTACAGAGCACAGAAGACTGTGAAAGTCAGAGCGTTTTATCGAAACAAAACGATCGAGGCTACAATTCAAATGAAGTGAATGAAACAACGACACAGGTATAACTTTATCGATTATTATCGATTTTTATAACTGTTTGTATTTATGGTCATTGATTTTAGATCTCGGATTCTGTTGCTTCGGACGAAGACGAAGCTATCGATGATTTTCAAACAAAGGGCACATCAGCCAAAGAGCGAAATGGGCTCATTGACCTATCGTTTGAAGACAAAGAGGAAAATGCGATTACCTCGGATGATTATGTTCCTGTTGAGCTTAAAGAAACAACTAAAAATACCGTCAATATCAGCACTAAAAAACCTGCCAGAAACAAGCACGTTTGGACCAAAGAAAGTGATTGGAATGATTTGGATGCTGTTCTTGACTTCCTAGAGGATGAGGGATTTGTTCTGTACGATTACTCTGACTTGATTTGCGGCCAAAAATTCTATTTTCGCTGTAAACGTACTCCGAAGTCGATGAAACCAGGTTGTGCGAAGCTGTACACATTATATTTACCATCCAATACGAATGAAATTCAATTGCTAAATAATTCCCGAGATCATAATCACGCTGAATTGCTCGTTGGAAAAACGCAATTAATGTCAGATGATATGATAAACTTCGTTAATCAGCTCTTCGAAAAAAATGTAACTCAATATAGTTCCATCAAACGATTCATCGAGCAAGCACGTCAAAATGAAAGTATTTTTTTGGATGAACCTGTTCCCAATACTCGACAAATAGAGTACAGGCGGAAAAAATTTCGAGATGCTGAAGTGAACCCATTGATCAATTTGGGCGACCTCATCAAGTGGTGTGAAGATAATTCGATATATCCAAGCAATGAAAACGATGCATTCGTTGTAGCACATGACTGCTCATCGATCTCGGATCCAAACATGAAATTCCGTTTCTGTCTTACTACACCTACATTGTTGCAGAAATTCATTGGTTTAAAACAAATTTGTATTGATGCAACATACAAATTAAATTGGAATGGATTTCCTCTAATAATCCTTGGTACTGTGGACAGAGCTAAAAAATTTCACCCATTGGCATATGCATGCACTACGAGTGAAACTGCGGATGACTATGAATTTGTTTTTGAGTCTATCAAAACAGCAGTGGAAGTATATTTTGAAGCCAAGTTTGAGCCAACCACAATAATTGCCGACGGTGCGCATGCGATACGAAATGCGTTCTTCAAAGTGTTCCCATCAGCTGATCTCGGAATCATGTGTTTTCCCCACGTTATTCGTAACATAAGGAAACGGCACTTCAAAGTGAAAAGCAACAAACAACTCATTTTGGACGATATACGGAAAATTCAGAAAGCTCCCAATCGTTCAATGTTCGAAATGATGTGTGAATTGTTCTGTGAAAAGTGGAAACGACTCGAATCAGAATTTATTGAATATTTCCGTAAGCAATGGCTGGGTGATCTCAATAATTGGTTCGAAGGAGCTGCAGAATATACGCCTTCAACTAACAACGGAGTTGAAAGTCACAACGCAAACATAAAGAGAAAAGTTACATTACGCAGGAGACTACCGTTAAATCAATTTCTTGCTGCTATGAAACATTTAACAGAAACATGTTCAGAGCAATTTTCAAACGGCAAAAGGCAAATAGCAACAGAACCCATTATCAAAAGAGAAATGATGTTGAATGCAGCGTACATGTGCCAAAGTAATTTTAAATGTTTTAAAGCAAGATCTCGGACTGCGGGCTCACTTGTGTATTTAGTGCCATCGTCAACCTGTGAAGAAGCAGATGCCAATGAAATACACTACAAGCGCCTCGTTGAACGAAAATGGACCAGCTTTGATGAGTTTATCAAACATGGATTTCAGAAATTCTACGTTGTAAATATTTCAATGTCGTCCTGGAAAAACAAATCAACATGCACCTGCGTTAGTTTCTTCAAAGAAAATATGTGCAAGCATGTTCTTGCTATCGGAATGCTTCATAAAATTATTGACTGTCCCGATTCATCGAATCCAGTTCTACTTAATCAACATAAACGAAACGCTGGGCGAGTAACAGCTGCAAAAAAAGCTCTTGAACACCAAAATTAATAAGATCGCGGTTTCTACTATTTATTTTATAACAAATGTGCCAATAAATTGAGTATCATGATAACAAATTACCTTTTTTCTATTGAAATGAACTGGGCGTATACTTAGTCAACACAATATTTTCAGTAATAAAATAGGTGTTTAGTACAATTTTCGGGCATTTTTAGGTCTTTTTTTGAATAATTTAGTACGATTTTGGGGAGTACTTCATGGTATTTTTGGGGGAAATTTAGGACGATTTTGGGGGAAATTTAGGTCGGATTTCGGGTACTTTTAGTATATTTTTCGGGATTTTTTAGGTCTTTATTCGGAAAATTTATTACAATTTTCGGATATTTTATTCAGAATTTGAGTTTTTTATGACGAAATTTGTTTGACCGGAGCCAGTTTATGGGTGGAACGAAAAACGTCATAAAATTTACAACAATTAGAATAAATTTCACAA